GCAACTCGTCTGTCTAGTCCTGTTAGATGTTTCAATCAGAGGCTTCTCTGATCCTTCTAAACTCCAGTGAATACAGGCCTAGTCCCTAGTATCAGCCTAGTGAACCTCTGCTGCACAGAGTAGGGAGATTAAACCTGCACTCAATACTCCAGTTGTGGTCTCACCAGGGCCCTGTATAACTGCAGTAGGATATCTCTACTTCTGAGCTCCAATCCTCTTACTATGAAGGCCAGTATATCGTTGACCTTCCCAATTGCTTGCTGCACCTGCCTGTGTACATACCTCAACTGGAAAAAACAACCAGATCCTTTATACATCCACATGCCCAGTATATCACAATTTAAATAATATCTTTCGTTTCTCATACTGAAGTACAGAATGTCAAATTTGTCCACATTGTACTGTAGCTGCCATATGTTTGCCCATTCATTTGATTTGTCTAAATCACCTTGAAGCCACCTTGCATTGCCCTCACAACTCTCAATCCCACCTAAATTGAGTCATTTGGCTCCATCATCCAAGTCATTTATAACTAATGTGAATAACTGGGGCCCAAGCACTGATCCCAGTGTTACACCACTAGTACACCCAGCTACCCAGAAAAAGATTCATTTATTCCCACACCATGTTTTTGGTCTGTCAAGAGGCCCAATGCCATCCAGGATAAAGTAACCACCTTGAATTACACCCTATCCACCTCCTTTAACATTCACTCCCCTCACCACCAATGCAGTGTATAAAAGATGCACTCTAAGAATTCACTAAGGCTCTTTCAACAGCACCTTCCAAACCCACAACCAATGCCATCTAGAAGGACAACATGGCAACACCACTCCCTGCAAGTTCCCAGCCGAGCTGCTCACCACCCTGAATTGGAAATATATCACCTTTCTTTCACTGTCGCTGGGTCAAAATCCTGGAATTTCCTAACTAAAGGCATTGCAGGTCTACCTGCCCCACCAATGAGTGCAGCAGCTCATCACCAGCTTCTCCTGGGCCATTAGGCATGGCCTTGCCAGAGGTACACAGATCCTATGAAAAAATCCACTCTGCTCACTTAAAAATACTCTGCTCTTCCTACCAATGTTCACATTTTTTACATTTTATTCCATTTCCTGTGTTCTCAGCCATTTATTTAACTGGTTAGAATTCTTATGCAGCTTCTTCACATTCTAGCAGCTTACTTTCCAGCCTGATACTGGGATCATCAGTAACTTGGATACATTAACGGCACAGACCAGCAATGGAACAGAACCACTGAATTGTTGCAACACAAAGTAGCCATTTGGCCCACTGTGTCTGCACCAGCTCTCTGAACAAACAGTTTGCCTCCTGCCATCCTCCTGTCTTTTCCCTGTAAAGACCTGAACAGTATTTTTCCAAACCCTAATCTGTATTGTTCAATTTCAAACTGACCAACTGTCTAAACCAAGCGAGTGGCTCAGGGCCATTTTACTAACCAACACCAAAATCAAGTCTTGCCCAATTAAACAGCCTAGAGATTGTAATTCTCTCACCTGGCATGATCAAGGGCAGACAAGAATCCGCTGTGATTCCAGGGGTAACTGGGAGCATGGAGTTCCAGCTCTGCATACACTGAATGGTGCAGCGTCAAGGCAAGTGCACTGCCCCCAGCAGCAAGAACACCTAACGTTGACAATGCTACCTTCTTCCCACGGGACAGGTTAGCAAAGGACATCTTTGCCTACAAGACACAAGAGGTCAGACGTTGAAACTGGAGATGCTGATCAGAATCCAATAGAAAAATCACACCACAGAGTAGACAGTCAGAGGCTCCACTTTTAAAAAAAATGCTTGATGAACATTAAAGGGAAGGGACGGAAAAATTCCTTCAAAGGTTTTCACTCAAAATTCACACCCTTTCCCATCATGGTGAATCAGGCACTTGCGCTCCAATACCTTCCCAAAGTTTAGATTTTAAGCACAGAATTTTGGATCCTCAATTTAATCGCTCCAGTCCAGTATTATTCTGGTGAATAATCTGTCCTCCACCCCCTCAGAGACCAGTAACTCTTGTTAGAGGTTGGAATACCCAGATTGACCTTTTACTTAGATGGACTGAAGGAAAATGCCAAAATAATTATTGCTAGGCCAGAAGCTGGAGAAAGTTTAGAAATCAGCAAGGATGATTAGAAGAATGGAGAAATTAGAATGAGTGTAAACTAGCAAAAAAAATAAACACAGATGGTAAGAGCTTCTACAATATACTAGGAGGTACAGTAGCTCTGGTAAATGATGGAGACACTATCAGGACAAGGGGCCAACTGTTTAGGACTCAGAAGGTTGTGAATCTTTAGGATTGTCCAAGAGGATGTTCTATCATTGTCTATGTCTAACACTGGGATATCTCTCAGGAACTTAAGGAATATGGGGAGAGGGCAGGAAAGTGGAGCTGAAACCCCAGATCAGACATGATCATACTGAAAGGTGGAGCAGGCTCGACTGGCCAAATATTTACATCTGTTCCTGATTCATGTGTTGATCCCTTAGAAGACAAGTTTACAGAACTAATAATAGAAACAAGGCATCAGAAGAGTCTTTGAATAAGCAGAAAATACAAGAAGCATCTCAATAGCAATAGAAAATTGAGGCACAAGTGGGGAGAAAGGAGAGAGGAATTAAAAATATTCAAAACCATTCAAAGGAAGGCTGCTGGGAAAACTAACAGGACTAAAGTCTGATAAGAGCCCCCAGGCCTGATGGCCTGCATCCTACAGCATTAAAACGAAGTAGCTACAGAGACAATGGACGCATTAGTTGTAATCTTCCCAAATACCTTTCCAAAGTTAGGAAATCTCTCACACTCTCCACCCTCAAAAAAAGTGCAACATCTCCATTCGCAAATGGAGAGACAGAAAGCAGGAAACCATAGGCCAGTTAGCCTAATGCCTGTCATTGGGAAAATAGTTAAATTCAGTTTTAAGGAGGTTGTGGCAGAAATTTTAGAAAGCCATTATATAAGGCAGACTCACCATGATTTTGAAAATTATTCCTGTCAAATTTATAAGATATAATTAAGCAGGTTGGATAAAATGGGAAATAAAAGCAAAAAGAATTGCAGATGCTGTAAACCAGGAACAAAAACAGAAGCTGCTGGAAAAGCTCAACAGGTCTGGCAGCATCTGTGACAAAAAAAAAACAGAGTTAATGTTTCAGGTCCAGTGACCCTTCCTCAGAACTGTTCTGAGGAAGGGTCACTGGACCTGAAACGTTAACTCTGATTTGTTTCTTCACAGATGCTGCCAGACCTGTTGAGCTTTTCCAGCAGCTTCTGTTTTTGTTCTGGGATTAAATGGGAACTGGGCAATGTACTCTATTTGAATTGCTGTGGTAGAGGGAGACCTAGGAGCCTTTGTACATGAGATGCAAATTTAGCACTAAGAGACAGCAGGTAATTAGGAAAGTAAATGTAACGTTGGCCTTCATTTCAAGGGATAAAATATAAAAGGTCAGGATGTCTTACACCCACCGTACAGTGGAGCTGTGTGTTGTTTCGCTCTCCTTGTTTAAGGAGGAATAAACTTGCATTGGAGACATTTCCAAGAAGGTCAATTCCTACGCTGAAGCAGTTGAGGAAAGGTAGAGCAGGGTGAGCCTAAACTCTCAGCAGTTAGAAGAACAAAAAGTGACTTTACTGAAACACAATACTGTGGGGTCTACACCAGGTAGATACTGAGAAACTGTTTCTACTTGTGTAGAACAAAGTGGCAAGCTTGGTAATAAAGGGGTCTTCTGTTTGAAATAGAGATTACCAGCAATCTTCTCTCCCAGAGAGTCATTAGTATTTAGTTTTGTGTTTCTTAGAAAGCAGTGAAGACTGCATCATTGAACATACACAAGACTGAGTTCAGGTTTAATTCAGGACAGAGTCAGATGTCAATGCAGCAGGATTTGGGTTGGTGGGGGGGGGGGTAGGATGTTTGAAAAGTACATTTAAAAATCATCGGGCCAACCAAGATGACGATGAAAAGCAGGAGAGGTTTCAGGGGTCGAACATTCACCCCAATCTATTTTACAAAAACCCGGGGGATGGAGGAGGGGGTTCGTACAACCCAGGCCTGAGGAGATCCTGGGGCTCATGGCCTGCCCCTGGAGAAGGCGACCCTTTTCATACTGCTCCCCGAGTTCAGCCGCAGGCCCCAGAGCCCCGCGGTGTCCGGAGCCGTTCGGGCCGCACGGGGTGACCTTGACAGGAGGCCGGATCGCAGTCTGAAGCGCTAGGCGCTCGCTCCGAAACCCTAGCGCGGTCCGGCTCCCAGAGTCCGTGCCCGAAGGCCCGGGTCCTAGGCTGCCCTCACCTTACAGAGTTGGAAAGTTTTCTGGCGAGTCTGGAGGAGACCGCGCCCGCTCCCCGCCGCCGCTCTCAACGCCGCCATCTTCCAAAGCCCGCCCTCACTCCCAGCCAGCACTGCAGCAGTAGCCCGCCGCCATCTTGAGTGCCCGCCCTTCCGCCCTCATTCCCAGCCGGCACTGCGGCAGCAGCCCTCCGCCATCTTGAGTGCCCGCCCTCACTCCCAGTCTGCACCCTGTCCCAACACGCAATTAAACGGCGTGAAATCGGCAATTTTCACATATCATTCAATTGTGTATCATTTTAGGCAGATTTAATCCCCTTTTCACAATTATTCGGGAGGTGGACTCGCTGTACCGCCTCCTGTGGGCTGGGAGGACTCGCTGTACCGGGCCCTGCTGGCTGGGAGGACTCGCTGTACCGGGCCCTGCTGGCTGGGAGGACTCACCGTACCGCCTCCCGCTGGCTGGGAGGACTCACGGCACCGCCCCCTGCTGGCTGGGAGGACTCATTGCATCGCCCCCTGCTGGCCGGGAGGACTCACTGCACCGCCCCTTGCTGGCCGGGAGGATTCACTGCACCGTCCCTTGCTGGCCGGGAGGACTCACTGCACCGCCCCCTGCTGGCCGGGAGGACTCACTGCACCGCCCCCTGCTGGCCAGGAGGACTCACTGCACCGCCCCTTGCTGGCCGGGAGGAGCCGCGGCCTGTGAGTGGTCGTGGTTGCTGCTGCCCGGTGTTTGAGATGATGCTGTCGGTCAGTCAGCCCCAGTGGGTCGGGGGTGACCATTGGGCCCAGTGAGTGCCGCAGCTTTGACCCGGATCAGCCTGAATAACACCGAGTGAGGGACCATTTACCTTCAGAAGAACCCTTTGGTCTTTAGGGCATCTCAGGATGTGCCAGGTGCTATGTAACAGCATTCCTAAGTAAACAAGAGTGAATCCGATGGCGTTTTTTCTCGATAATTGACAAAAATTATGTAATCCTCATTAAACTAGCTTTAAATTCTGGATTTTTACTCAATTCAAACTTTAACAATTGCCCATGTCCCAGACCATTAGATGTGGGAGCAGGCCATTCAGCCCATCGAGTCTGCTCTGCCATTCAATGAGATCATGGTGAATCTGATAACCCTCACCTCCACTTTTCCCCATAGCCTCTGATTCCCTTCCTAAGAATCAATCTGTCTCAGCCTTGAATATACTGAATGACCCAGCCTCAACAGCCCTCTGCGGTAAAGAATTCCACAGATTGACTTCCTCGGACAGAAAAAAAACCCTCCTCATCTTCAACGGGTGACCCCATATTCTGAGATTATACCCTCTGGTCCTAGCCACTCCCAAAGGGAAAATGACCGTTCCACATCTCCCCTGTCAAATCTCCTCAGAAGTTTGTATGTTTTAAGAGGTCACCTCTCATTCTTCTCAATTCAAATGAGTACATGCTCACCCTACTGAACCTCTCCTTGTAAGACAGCCCCTCCATACCAGGGATCAGCTCAGTGAACCTTCTGTAGACTGCCTGCGAAACTGGTATATCTCTAAGATATCCCCTTAGGGGATTCAAAACTGTTCACTGTATTCTAGGTTGTGGTCTGACTAGAATCTTGTATGGTTTTAGCAAGATCTCCCTGTGTTTATATTCTGTTCCTTTTTAAATAAAGGCCAACATTCAATTTGTCTTCCCTGTTACCTGTTGAATTTGGATGTGGGCATTTTGTAATTTATTAGGTTAGGTTATGGATCACTGGCCCAGTGAGATTACCATGAGAACACCACCTCCCTTTCTAGAGGGTGTAAGCTGGAAGGCCCGTCTGGAAATTGCAGAATGGCCATATTAGGATGTAACAAAGGCGTGGATGGATGAGAGTTTCAGCAGGAGCTGAGGTGGAGACAGATATGTAGGACGTGACATTCACAATAGAAGGACATGGGTTCAGACCCTCAGCCCAGGATTAAGTTGGACACAAAAACAAATGAGAATCTAATTCAACCCAAAACGGTAACATGGAGAAAAACGGAATTGTTTGCAAAGATTCCAAGTTTGCGACAGACTGCTTTTTGTCATTTATATAAATGATTTGGATGTGGACATAGCAGGTATGGTTAGTAAGTTCGCAGATGAACAGCGAAGAAGGTTACCTCAGAGTACAACAGGATCTTGATCAGATGGGCCAATGGGCCAAGGAGCGACAGATGGAGTTTAATTTAGAAAAATGTGAGGTGCTGCATTTTGGAAAGGCAAATCAGGGCAGGACTTATACACTTAATGGTAGGGCCCTGCGGAGTATTGCTGAACTTGGAGTGAAGGTTCATAGTTCCTTGAAAGTGGAGTCGCAGGTAGACAGGGCGGTGAAGAAGGTGTTTGGTACGCTTGCCTTTATTGGTCAGTGTGCTGAGTATAGGAGTTGGGAGGGTCATGTTACAGCTGAACAGTACATTGGTTAGGCCACCTTTGAAATACTGCATGCAATTCTGGTCTCCCTGCTATAGGAAGGATGTTGTGAAACTTGAAAGGGTTCAGTAAAGATTTACGAGGATGTTGCAGGGGTTGGAGGGTTTGAGCTACAGGGAGAGGCTGAATAGGCTGGGGCTATTTTCCCTGGAACGTCAGAGGCTGAGGGGTGACCTTATAGAGGTTTATTAAATTATGTGGGGCATGAAGAGGGTAAATAGACAAAGTCTTTTCCTTGGAGTAGGGGAGTCTGAAGCTGGAGGGGAAAGGGGAAGGGTGAGAGGGGAAAGATTTAAAAGGGACCTGAGGGACAACATTTTCACGCAGAGGGTGATGTGTGTATGGAATGAGCTGCCAGAGGAAGTGGTGGAGGCTGGTACAATTACAACATTTAAAAGGCATCTGGATGGGTAAATGAGTAGGAAGGGTTTAGCGGGATATGGGCCAAATGCTGGGAAATGGGAATAGATTAATTTAGGATATCTGGTTGGTATGGACAAGTTAGACATGGACTGTTAACATGCTGTACAGCTCTATGACTCTATAAGTGACAGTGCTGGCTGCCCAGGACTGGTTGTCAGACAAACTTTCTAATAAAACGGAGGCAGTGTCGGGGCTGAGAAGTGAGGTGTAGTTGTAGACACAGCCTTGATTTTAACTCCATGGACCAAGCACCATTCTTCGAACTGGGCAGTAAAAGGTAGTGCACGAAGGGATTAAAGTCCGGGAATTCCCAATTTGCTGCCAAGCTGCCACATTCCTGCAGTTTGGATGTTAACCATGAGATGTAGCAGGGTTGGTGAGATTCCCTCTCAAGGGACAGTGAAAACCAGTATCTGCTGACACAAGGAACAGCCTGATTTCATTTTGATTCGAGAACACGTGGTTCACATATATCAGCAAGGTCACTGTAGGCTCTGTGGGATGGTGTTGGGCCTGAACCATGTCCGAGAATCTAACGGAACACAATCTGAATAAATCTGCTCCTCTCCTTCACTTCACTGAAGGCTCTGGTTCAGTGATCATGGTCTGCTTTGAGTTGGCTGTGTTGGAGAAACAAGAATTGGGATTCTCTGAGCAGCACCAAGGCCAGGACATTAATCATCAGGGAGTGCCTGCCTGGCCGCCCACACTCAGGGGTCCTGACCCAGCCCCCACTGTATGCTGAGAGGGAGCCTCAACTTCAAGGAACTGGGGTGGGGGGCCAGGAGACCCTGAACATTGAGGCAACCGATGACAGGCTCCCCCTGTGTGCCTTAGGAGTGATATATTGACCTTGGAGGGAGTGTAGGAACCTCACATGTGCCAAAGTGACACCTGGACTCCAAGAGGCAAGCTCTGAGGAGAATTTACACAAACTAAAGTTTTGTTTCCTGAAGTTTCAGAGGTAAAAGAGGTTATGCTGAAGATGGTCTCTCTGCTCCCCAGTGTAGGTTCTGGGAGTAGCTCACCTCCACTTTAGGTCCAGAAGTGCTCTTACACACAACTGAACAGTTATTTTTTTCTATCACCAAGTCACTGTGATTTGTCTTCCATCCATTAACCACCACCAGTAAATCACCTGGGTTTTCCAATTGAATAATTTATGTGCAAAGCCCGACAGGAGCAATGCAAACCATTGATTGTGAGGGAGGGGTAGGGAGATGGGGAGGGGCTAAATCAAAATGGAGTTGGAGGGGGAGATAAGGCACTGTAACCCCTACAGTCCCTTCTCTAAAGCATTGAGAGCATTGATGGACACTGCATGCTCTGTCTCTAATGACACCTGGGACATAATGTAGAAGGTGGGCAGGCAGTCGGCAGGAATGACCTCGACCCCCCATCCCATCCATAGCCCGCTGCCTGGACCTGTTAGTAATCTCCTGTTTGTGGAATGTTTAAGGTGATGGAAGGGGTGGGACTTCCACCTGTCTCCAAGAGGGAGCCCCGCCTTGTAGAGCTGCTGACCAATCAGAGGTCACTGCTCAGCAGCACCCCAGGATCAGTGGCCACTGCCGGTATTGCAGGCCTTGGGGTGGCCGAACCACAGACTCTACCCAAATCAGGACCTTGCTGGAGGTGTAAGGGTGGGCACAGGGGCAAGGATGGACTTTGTGGGGATGGGGTAAGTGTCGGATATAGAGGGGTGTGGGCCGGGTGGGTGCAGAGTGCAAACCCATGGGTGTGAGGGTCTCCAATGTACCCCGGGGGGGTAGGGTGTTGTCCTGGGGAGAACACACATCCCCTCCTCCTTAACCTTTCACTGACCAGCAAGCCGTGACCCCCCGCCCTTCCCCAACCCCAGCCTTGGTCCAAGCTGCTGAGCCCTTACACACTACACACTGCTCTGTCCTATCTCCTAGGCTGAGTATTAAATGCCAGCTTCACCTGGGACCTGGATGGGAAGGGCCCCTCCCTGTGCCCTGTTGGCGAGTCAGGGCTTGGTGATCCTGATGGTGGGAATATGCCAGTGTTACCATGGTGCTGTATCCACCCACCTGCCCGAGGTTGATAACATTTTGTTATGTAAAGGGATATGGTGGATCAGCAGGTAAATGAGGTCTAGGTGCAGATGAGCCAAAGGATCTTGTCTGAAAGAACTTCTCCTGCTGACCTCAAATAAGGCCTTTGTGCCTGAAGATCCTGAGACCAGAGGACAAATATGTCAAAGGATAATTCCACAATGCACGGTTTAACATTCCCGCTGCATTATGGTTTGGAACCATAAGGGTGTTGGACACATAGAGGGAAATACAGAAGCTGCAAGGTTATTAGGAAAAAGGTGGGGGAAGGGGGAGAGTGGCATTATCTGGATTGCTCTTTGGAAGAAATGGTACACACTTAACAGGCAGATTGACCCTCATCTGTGCACTATCAGGCTCTCCACCTTAAGGAAGGACTCCTGAAATGCTTTTCAAATTCCATTGCCTGTTTTCCATTAGCATCCCCTCTGTCCAAACTAGGAAATAAATGATTAAATTCTCCCAGAGCAGTATTTTTGTGAAATATGTTTGTCTCAAATCTTGCTGCAGAATTCTTCTCCCAGTTTCTGCTCACAATTTGGAAGCTCAGTAAAACACCTAACTAAACAACAGCCCTTCAATAGTAAATAAAAACTGAAAGAACTGCGGGTGCTGTAAATCAGAAACTAACACAGAAATTGCTGGAAAAGCTCAGCAGATCTGGCAACATCTGTGAAGGGAAATCCGAGTTAATGTTTCAGATTTGATGACCCTTCCTCAGACCCTGCTTCAGCCCTTTAATAGTGTTCAGATGTGAACCATAGTGACTCAGTGTGTACTTCCCTTATCTATATCACTCCTATCTAACGTATCAGAAATTATTCCCCTATTTGAGGATGGCACTCTTCACAGGAAGAGCAAAACCATATCATGGAATATTCATTCCACCTACTGTTCCTCTCATCTCCACAGAGAGCAGAAATGAAGAATGTGCTGCAGAGAGACTGGGAGCAGGGGAATCGTACAAAACCTTCAGTTGTCAGCAGAGATGGTCTCACTCCATCATGAAGCTCATCAATTGGCCTGACTGACCCAGGTAGGGTGACCCTGGGAGATAGGCTGTCTAGATGTTGAATTGATGAGAATGTGATTGACAACTAACAGGGGCAGTGAAAGGATGAGCTATTGGAGGGGGAACATGATGTACCTGAGTGTGGGTTTGACACCAAAGAAAACATTGGTAGGAGTAGTGTACAGATCCTTAAACAGTAACCACTGTGTGGGAAAGGCAATAAATCAACAAATAATAGGAACATGTAAAAAGAATTGAGCAATAATTATGGATGACTTTAATTTTCATGTTGATTAGAAAGAGTAGCTATGACAATGAATCTGTAGAGTGCATTAGGGATAGTTTCCTAGAGTAATATATCATGGAGCTAATCAGGGAGCGGGCTATTCTGGATATGGTAGTGGGTAATGAGGCATGTTTAATAAATGACCCCTGAGTGAAAGATCTCTTAGGAAGTAGTGATCGTAACGTGGTAACATTTAATATTCAGTTTGAGGTGAAAAACTCGGGTTAGAAATAACTGTGTTTAACATAAATAAAGGGAATTACAATGAAATGAGAATTGAGTTAGCAAAAGTGAACTGGACAGATAGATTAGCAGGAATGACAGTAAGCAGCAGGGGCAGAGATTTAAGGAGGTAATTCATGACTCTCAACAAAAATACATCGCAGTCAGGAGGAAAGATTCTGAGATAGCAATAAACTAACCCATGGCTAACCAAAGAAGTTGGTTGAAAGGAAGAATATATAAGGAAGTCACGGTCAGTGATAAACTTGAAGACTGGGATAGATTTGTAATCCAACAGGGAACTAAACAATAATAAAAACAAGAAAATAAACTGTGAGGAAAAACTAGTGAGGAATATAAAACCTGACAGAGCTTCTTTAAATATATGAAAAGGAAAGAGAGGTCAAAGTGAACATGAGAAAATGAATCTGGGGAGATGGTTTTGGAGAACAAGGAAATGGCAGAGGAGTTAAACAGATACTTTGCCTCAGTCTTTACAGTGGGAGCTATTTTGAAAATCCCATTAATACTGAAGAAAATGGGGAGGAATTAAGAGCCAACACCATCACTGGAGAAGTTACAGTAGTATTAGACAAACTAATGGGGCTAAAGGCAGATAAGTCCCCTGGCCCTGATGGCTTGCTTCCTTAGATCCTAAAAGAGTTAGTTACAGAGATTGTGGATGAGTTGGTTGTATTTTGCCAAAAATCTTTGGATTCTGGAGATGTACTGGAGAATTAGGAAGCTGCCAATGTAACACCCTTATTCAAAAAGGGAAGGAGGCAAAAAGCAGGTAATTAAAGGCTGATTAACCTAACATTTCTTGTTGGAAAAATATTGGGATCAGTTATTAAGAAACAATAGCAGAACATTTACTAAATCATAATCTAATCAAGCAGAGTCAGCACAGCTTTGTGAAAGGGAAATCATGTCTGACTAATTTATTAGAGTTTATTGAGGAAATCTTAATCAGTATGGATAGAAGGGAAACCCATAGGTGTCTTGTATTTGGACTTAACAAGGTGCATCACAAAAGGGTAAGTCATAAGATAAAAGCCCATGACGTTGGAGGTCGTACATTGGGGTGGCTAGAGAATTGGCTCATGGGCAGGAAACAGCGAGTGGGGGTAAGGGGTTCTTTCTCAGGTTGGCTACCTGTAACCAGTGGGTTCCACAGGGATCGGTGCTGGGACTGTAACTGTTTACAGTATATATTAATGGCTTGGAGGAAGGAAGAGCGTGTACTGTAGCCAAATTTACAGACAATGCAACAACAGGTGGAAAGCAAGTTGTGAGAGGGGTAAGGAGAGATATTGATAGGTTATGTAAGAGGGCAAAATGTTGGCAAATGGAGTATAATGTGGGAAAATGTGAAGTTGTTCATTTGGGAAAGGAGAACAAAAGAACAGAATATTATATAAATGGACAGATACTGTAGAAAGCTGCAACACAAAGGGACTTAGAAACATAGAAAATAGGTGCAGGAGTAGGCTACTCGGCCTTTCGAGCCTACACCACCATTCCATATGATCATGGCTGATCAGGCAATCTCAGTATCCCACTCCCGCGCTCTCCCCATACCCCTTGATCCCTTTAGCCACACGGGTCACATCCAGCTCCCTCTTGAATATATCTAATCAACTGGCCCCAACAGCTTCCTATGGGAGAGAACTCCACAGGTTCACAACTCTCTGAGTGAAGAAATTCTTCCTCATCTCAGTCCTGAATGGCTTACTTCTTATTTCTAGACTATGATCCCTAGTTCTGGATTACCCCAACATCGGGAATATTCTTCCCATATCTAGGCTGTCCAGTCTCATCAGGATTTTATGTTTCTATGAGATTCATCCTTCATTCTTCCGAAATCCAGTGAATACAAGCCCAGTCTTTCTTCATATGTCAGTCCTGCCTTCCCGGGAATTAGTCTGGTGACCCTTCGCTGGATTCCCTCAATAGCAAGACTGGCCTTTCCCTGACTGGGAGACCAAAACTGCACACAATACTTGGGGTGACTTGTTCACAAGACAAGCGCACAAGCTAGCACATCGGGTGTAGCAGGTAATCAGGAAGGCTAATGAAATGTTAACCCTTATTAGAAGGGGCTGGAGTATAAGAATAAGGAAGTCTTGTTGCAGCTGTACAAGGTGCTGGTGAGACCACATGCGGAGCACAGTGAGCAGTTTTGGTCTCTTTATTTGAGGAAAGATATTGTTTCATTGGAGGCAGTTCAGAGAAGGTTCACTCGGATGACGGAGGAATTGTCTTATGGGCAAAAATTAAATAGTTTGGGATACTACTCCCTGGAGCTTAGAAGAATGAGAGGTGACCGCACTGAAACATTCTTAAGGGGCCTGACAGGGTAAATGCTGAGAGGATGTTTCCCCTTCATGGGAGAGTCTAGGACCAGGTGGCACAGTCTCAGGACAAAGGATATCAATTTAAGACAGAGATGAGGAGGAATTTCTTCTCTCAGAGGGTTGTGAATCTGTGGAACTCCTTGCCACAGAGAGCTGTGGGGGTAGGGACCCTGTGTCTATTTAAGGCTGAGATAAATTCTTGATCAGGTGGAGAATTGAGGGTTACAGGGAAAGGGCAGGAAAGTGGACATGAGGAATGTCGGATCAGCCATGATCCTATTGATTAGCGGAGCAGTCTCAAGGGGCTGAATGGTGGCCCCCTCCTGCCCCTGATTTTTATAGTCTTAAAGGGTGAAGTGAGGAAAAACATTTTCACGCTATGAGAGTTAGGGTCTGGAATGCACTGCCGGAAAATGCAGTGGAGGCAGTTCGGTTGAGGTATGGGATGATTATTCGGAATCAGAACGGTGTGTAGGGATGAGGAAATGGCAGGAGGTTGGCCCAAGGAATGATACTCGTTTGAAGAACAGGTGCTAGCACAGTGGGCCAAATGGCCTCCTCCTGCACTGTAACATTTCTGTGTGTGTGAATATGTGTGTCTGTGTGTGTGTGCGCCTGTGCATTTGTGTGTGTGTATGTGTGTGTGTGTCTGTGTGCGTGTATGTGTGTGCGTGTGCGCATGTGTGTGTGTGCATGTGTGTGTGTGTCTGTGTGTATGTATGTGTGTGTGTATGTGTATGTGTCTGTGTGTGTGTATATGTGTCTGGTGTGTGTGTGTAAGTGTCTGTGTATGTGTGTCTGTGTGTGTCTGTCTGTCATTGTGAGTGTGTGTGTGTGTCTGTGTGTGTGTGTGTATGTGTGTGTGTGTCTGTGTGTGTGTGTCTGTGTGTGTGTACGTGTGTCTGTGTGTGTATGCGTGTGTGTGTATACATGTGTCTGTGTGTGTGTGTACGTGTGTGTGTGTGTGTATATGTGTGTGTGTGTACGTGTGTGTGTGTGTACGTGTGTATGTGTGTGTACGTGTACATGTGTATGTGTGTGTGTGTGTGTGTGTGTGTGTGTGTGTGTGTGTGTGTGTGTGTGTGTGAAGTTGTCCACTTTGGTGGGAAATAGAGAATGGCAGAGTGTTATTGAAATGATGATTGATTGGGAAAGGTCAATGTACGAAGGGACCTGGCTGTCCTTGTACACCCGTCACTGGAAGCAAACAGGCAACTATTGCACGTAGTTAGGAAGCTAAATAGTCTGTTCACCTTCATTCAAAAGGTCTTGAGAAACAAATGACTCTTACTAAAGTTATAGTGGGCCCTGGTGAGACCACACCTGGGGTATTGTGCAATTTTAGCCTCTTCACCACAGAAACGATACACTCGCCATTGAGAGACAAACCGGACAAACTGAATCCTGGGTTGGTAGGACTGTCCTATGAGGAGAGATTGGGTCAACTCGACCTATATTCGCTGAGTTTAGAAGAATAAGAGAGGATTTAGTTAAAACGTATAAAACAGGGATGGACGGACTGGTCCCAGGGAAGATGTTTCCCCTGGTTGGAGAGCCTAGAAGCAGGGGTCATGAGTCTCAGGAAATAGGGTTGACCATTTTGAGCGGAGATGAGGAGAGATACCTCCACTGGGAAGGTGATGAATGTGTGGAATTCTGTACCACAGAACACTGTGAAAGGCAGGTCAGGGGACACAACAGGAGTATGCTGCTGAGATTGAGGAACAGCTATGATCACGTTGAATGGTGGCGCAGGTTTGATGTGCTGAATGGTCTCCTGCTATTTTTTGTGTTTCACCTGGAGACAGGGCCAGGGTTTTACACGGATCGCAGTGACAACATTTGAGCATTAAGCTGTTCTAAGCTGGTTTCAGTATTGTTGAATTGATATTAAAACATTTTGCAGCAAAAGCATTGGTACTTGGTGAGAATACTCAGTGATGGGGCACATTGTGGAGTGTAAGAGTCCAAGCTAACATATTGAGTCTGTACCATTGATAGCAGATCAAGTATCAGCTAAATATCAGGTAAATGAAAGGGAAATTAATTTGAAATACTGTTGCCTGACAGTCAGTCTTAAACAAAAACAGGTAATGTTTTATTGGATTGACAGAACTTTCGAAGCAGACAGACCACAGAGAGAGACTGAGCTTGTAGTT